ATTTTTGTATACTTTATTTTTTCCAATGTTTTTGTAGAAATTTCCAAAGTGAAAAAAAGATATAGATGTATAAAATACATCTATATCTAGACTGTAAAAACATATACCTACATTAAATATACATATAAATTTTTTTTGTTAAAAATGAGAGGAGTTGGTTTTAAATTGGTTTATAAAGCAAAATAAAACAACAAAAAACTCATTATGCCCACTTGACCCCAACCCCTACCCAAGCAAAACAAACTACTATAACTAATCATTTTTACCCAAGTTCTAGCCTACACCCCTTCCTCACATTACACCCCTGGATGACTTTCCTAAAGGCCTTTCTTATTTCATTAACTTTTTTTTCCCCAAGGAACTTAGGTGACACATGGGTAGATTGCCTTATTTTCAGGAAGTCATGAGAGTTCAAATTCTGCCTCAGACACTCAGTAACTATGTGACCCTGGGTAAGTCAGTTGACCTCTGGATTGTTGTGAAGACCAAATAAGATTATATGTGTGTATATATATATATATATAGTGTTTTACAAACCTTAAAGCTCTCTCTCCCTAGACACACACACACACACACACACACACACACACACACACACACACACACACACTTTTTTTCCATTTAAACACTTAGTTTTCAGAGGGCCTCAAATAATTTTGTTGGTTAAAGGGAAGTGAGTGAAAATTTGTTTTTGTTCTAAGCATTATAAGGTTCAAGAGGCAGTTTCCTAACAGAAAGAAACTACATTAATTAGTACAATGTGTCCTGAGTAGCATTTTATAGAAAAATGTTCAAGAAAGTTGTAAAATTTCATAGAAATTTTGTTTACTTTTTGTTGATATACTCAGTGTGTGGACATTGGAAGCAAAATCTCACTTAGTTTAAGCCCCTGAGGCATCTACATTTGGGACAAATTCCTGGGGCTGTCCACAGTGGGATTGGCCTTATGCCTAGACAGAGTAGGCAACTGCCTATGTAGTAGAATCAGAGGGCCTCTGCTCCCCCCAAATCTACTGCTATTTACCCTTCCATGGCACCAAAATTCTCAAACTACTCAATACTTTAGCTTAAGATATTGAAGGTGCTATTAAAAATGCATGTGTTTTAAGGAAGGGAGACACATTGAACTATCACAACCTATAGCACAGTAGAGAAAATCTGTTCAATCACTCAGCAGATCCTTGAATGAACGGGACAAAGGAAATGAGCTTTAACTGAGGGGGCAGGGGGAGAAGGGTCAGGAAAGGTCTGGCCAAAAAGATACATTCAGGTGGGAGGCCGGTGTGAGGGGAAAGGCTGATAGAATTGGACCCCTTGGGACTTGGGGGTACCCAGTGGGAACAGAGGAACACAAGAAGGAAGAGGAGAATGGAAGAACACAGAAGAAACATTTTGCCCAGGTCCAAAGCCATTCTCTAACATGGTCTACTCAGTATAACAAAGACTTGGGCACACTTTTCTTGGCATGTTGTTTTCCATTGGAGATGATGGGCATATCAAACATAGATTTGACTTGCCTCATACCTTTTAGGAATGGCCAGATCTAGGCATTTTTGTCTAGGCAGGGTCTAGCGCTGTGGAAAATGTTTGAGCAAATGGTATGATGATTTCCCGTTTGCTTCTTTGTTTGTTTTTAGCAGCATAAAGCGAAGCATAGGAAGGAAGGGAGACAGGTATCAAAAAGGCACTCATGCTTCTCCACTAGGAAAGGGAGGCTATGGTAATCAATGGAGGGGTTTAAGATGAGGATTAGCAAAGAAATATGCTGGTGTTTCTCAGTTTGGCCACATAATTCTGCCCATAGAAGGAATAATTATGGAAAAGTGAGAAGAGTGGAGACCTAGCCCTTCAGAGTCTGCTGTGAGCCATGTAGACTGTGAAGGTCTGGAGGAGGGGTTTGATTCTCTAGAGCAAGGTTCATTATACTTCTTTTTGGAAAGATGGTGGAGTCTATGGACCCCATCTCAGAATGTTTTACAATGCATAAAATGTAATTCATAGGATTAAAAGGGAAACCAATTACATGAAAATATGGCTGTTAGAATATGAAAAACAAACAACCCAAAACTTAGTTCAGAAACCCCAGGTTAAGAACCCCTGTTTTACAGACTTCAATTTTTTTTCCTCTAAAAAGGAGTCCTCACACTCAGGGAGGTGCTATACTTTTGAAACAACTAAATAGACCCCTGAATAGGGAAAGCTCACTAATGGAGAGTTAATTTGACTAATTATGGATTCTAGCATGATTCCTTTGCTTTTACTGCCAGGAACAACGAAATCTATCCTATCATTGATGTTATGTTGCCCTACGTGCTTGAATAGGAAGCTGGGGCTCTTTTTTCTTTAGTGATGTCTCCAATTCTGTCATTCCTAGGGGAGAGCCAGGAGAAGGGGCAGGAGTTAAAAGAGTAACAGTGAGAGATTTCGAAGGCTGACCTTGGTCCCTGAAAGCTCAGGGCATTGGTAATGAGTTACTTGTTACATTGTAGGGCCTTGCACATAGAAAATCAGCTTAATCTAGTATTCCCCATGTGTCTTCCCTTCTGTCTCCATCTGTGGAACCTGCTATTGTCTTCCCCTCTAGGGAAAGCCTGCATTGAACATAAGTATACTCAATGATATTCTCACAGTAACAATATTCAAGTGGGCAATATGTACACAGATAAGGAATTACAAAGTCATTTGGGGATGCAGTGGAAAGCACTGTCTTCAATAATTCTGACCATCAAAAAGCTTAAATTCTATCAAGGGGGAGGACACAATAGGTACACACAGATAAGGGAACACAAGGTAACTTTGGGGAGCAGTAGGGGAAATGATAGGGGAGGAACAGGAAGGGCGTCATGGATCTGACGCTGGAATCTAGCTTTGAAGGGAGTTGGCGCTCAGATCCTCTCTTACATAGAGCACGTTGCCCCAGGCTTTCTGTGATAAAAAAAAAATTCAAAATGAGAATAAAAATGGGAACCATTTGAATCTCTGTTTTAACTTAATTCAAACCAACATTTTGTTTTAAGGTTCAGAAACGTTTACAAAAGCAGTCTCTGCCCAGATCGGGATCAAGAATGGCAACCTCCTCTTGGGACATAGACTGATCTCAAGTTGAGCCTGGCCAGCCACAGCAGTAGGAATTCCAGTAATAAACACCCCAGGAGAGCTGATGATTTGGAGATTCACAGTTTAATTCTGGAGCCTGGGGAGCCAGCTAATGCTTGGAAATGCCGTCTCTCAGAGTGAAACCAGAACTCTCACTCACTTAGACTTTGTCCATGTACTCCTCACTAGATCTAGTTTAAAGGCAAGGAGATTAGTGTTGGCCTCAAATATAGAGGCAGCCAGGTAATGAAATCACAGATCCTTGGTAAGAAGTCACAGAAAAGATTCTTTCTCTCAATTGATAAGACCAGTGTGTGTGTGTGTGTGTGTGTGTGTGTGTGTGTGTGTGTGTAAACTGCTAGGATTTCATTTCATTGCTGTTTTTCTGCCTTGTCAAGGTCTAAGCATTCTGTTGGCACTGTAATAATAAATAATGCATGCAATGTCACTTAATACCATCTTAATATTTGTTATGACACTGGTTTTGCTAACCAGTTCCAACATCCAGGCATGTGCTTTTGGAGATTAGGACTAGCTTGGTTAATTTCATAGATTTCCAAATAGAACCCCAAAGGTCTTTGCTTTTCAGGGAAGGAGTCTTTAAAATACAGAAACCGTAAATTGTCTTAAAAATGCATAGGTATTGACTCAGGTTTCTGCAGTTTCATGGCCAGAGAAGATGATAAAGGCAGGCAAGTAAAGGATTCCTCAAAACTGGACATTTTTAATGAGATAGCAACTCTATGGAGAATGGAGACCATTGATATTACTATGGGTATACTTTCTTGTGCCCTCTATGCCTTGCACATACTGTGGGATAGACAGTCAACAAGAATTGATTAAGTACTTACATTTCAGGCACTGGGATATAAAGAAAGGCAAAAACAGTCCCTGCCCTTGATTAGCTCACATTCTATGAGAGGAGATGAAATGATAAAAATAGTACATACAACGTAAATGGAAGGTGATATTAAAGGTAAGGAACTAGACTGGGAAAGGCCATATGCAGAAGGTGGGGTTTGATCTGAGTCTTAAAGGAATCTGGAGAACTGAGGAGGTAGAGGTGAGGAAGCAAAGATTCCAGGCTTGGGGAATGGTAACTGGAAATGAATAGAGTCAAAAGATGATGTGTCCTGTGCAAGGAATCATAGGGCCAGAGTCACTGGATCATTGTGGACATGGAGAGAAATAAAGTGTCAGAAACCTGAAAAGGCTGGAAGAGACTTAAAAATCTAAACAGAGGATTTTGTATTTGTTTTTAATCGAAATTGGGAGCCACTGAATTTGTCGAACAGGGGTGACTTGGTCAGACCTTATTGAGTCCAATTGCTGCTTTAGCAAGAAAATAGGTTCAGCCCTATAAACTATTGCCTCTATTGTATAAACTTAAAGCAACTGGAGAAAGTGTCTGAAGGATGAATGTTTAGTTATATAACTGCTTTAGAGCGATGACTGTTAAACACTGCATTAGCCACAATGGTGAATGGAGAAGGAGCATCAATAAGCTCAGAAATAACATTCTGAGCGATGGCTTTTCCTCTAGCCTCCACTAATTCCATTACTCAAGCCCCTTTTCTTGAATGGTCGATAATGAGAAGGTGGCTTTAGTTCTTTCCTGTGATAGGGGAGCTATAAACTAGAGCTAATTAAGTAATGTCCGTCTGAAAGCAAGCTCTCCCTCTTTCAAATTTTCCTTGAGCAGTATGGTTAGAGCTTTCCTTTGCTCCTGTTAGAGTCTACTTTGTGTACACACACACACACACACACACACACACACACACACACACACACACACACAAATATACGTTGTATAGTCCAGAGCTCTATTCAAAAACATTTATTAAATGCCCTTCACATGCCAGTGCTATGCTAGGCACTGTGAATACAAAGACAAAACCCAAATAATCTCTGTCCTCAAGGAAATGACCTTCTAATGGGGGAGGGAAACCACCATGTAGATAGATAAGTAAATATAAACTGTGTAGACTAATAACTAAGTAAAGACAAAATAATTTCAGGGAGGGGGCACTGAGGAGCACACTTAACGACTGGAGAGACCAGAAAAGAACTTCTCATGGGAGGTGGCACTTAAGCTAAGCTCTGAAGGGCAGCAAGGATTCCAGCTGAGTTTTACTTATATCCATGTCCATGTTGCACGCCCTCCCCCACCCCATGCCATCCCCGCATAGACTATAAATTTGAGGACACAGGTTGAGTTGTTTTTCATTCTTATCATCCTCAGGGTGTAGAACAGTGCCTTGCATGTTGTAGGTACTTAATATGTGTTTACTGAATTGAATAGATGATAATGAACTGAAGTCCATTTTAGGCATATTTTCTTAAGACTTCAACATTGTCCAAAAGGTCCTTGGATCACTCATCACTGCCATTTCATGCCCCCATACCCACCAAGAGTTTATTTCAAAACCTTCCTTTCCCTTGTGGTCACTAAACAGCCTTGGTCAAAGATTCCAGCCCATCCACTGGGGGACCTGCTTCTTATAAACTACAGCCCCTCCAGTATTTAGCAATGAACCGCAAGAATGGGTGAGGCTGTCTCTTTCAGGTTGTTTGGAAGAAGATGTGATGAGCGGTCCCATGCAATGTTGGCTACAGGTAGGTGGTGGCTTCTCTGCTCTCCCTTTCTTTGGCCTGAGCCACTGCCACGTTAATGCACTGAAGCCACTCCTCAGCATTCTTCTCGTCTTTGGCCTTGAAGACGTAGGTCTTACTGTCAGTAAAAATCTCGAAGGCCCGGGGAAGACTCCGGTCCCTGCGTCTCTTGGCCACAATTTTGACACTCTGGACTTTGCTCAATTCAATGGGACAGTCATCCGAATCATCTTTCTGAAATAGACCGGAGGGAAGAAAGTGAGACGGTTCCTAAGGTAAACAGAGATTCCAGGGTGTGGGTGAATTTTTGAGAAAGTGCAGATACTCTAGCATATCCCTTTTTCCCCAAGGTTGTCATCATTAAGGGGAAAGGTTGGTGGTATGAGATCACAGCTTTCCTGCTACAAGGGCCCTTGGAGGGCATGTAGTCCAACTCTAGTCCAATAGAGGGGGAAATCTGAGGCCCAAGGTCACACAGCTATCAGTGGCAGAGCTGGGATTCAAATCCAGATCCTCTGACTCCAAATCCATATCTCTTTCCTCTATGCTACACTGAGTCCCATCACAGTGTCCTATCAGGGTAAGGAGGTCAATATGGATATGGAGATATTCATATTGCTACCCTAAAGGGTACATTTCCTATATAAATATAATCTATATATATAAAATATGCATCCCATATAAAATAAACAACCTTTTGACAATTATTTTATGATACCATTGGGAGAAAAGCTTTTACATCAGCTCCCTGATTCTTGGGTCTTAACTCTTTATAATAATAGGGCACGGATGGGGCAGGGGAGCATTTATAAAGCTAGTGGATGGGGGACTTTGAGGAACAGAGGGAAGGAATAGTCTGTCTTCTGCTAACTTCTATATGACATTAGTAAAGATAAGGACTGGACTTGTGATGTTGGCCAAGGAGATGCCCTTTATCTGTGTAGATGGGGCTCTTTTCTACAACTTAGTTGTAGAGAGTTATCCAGGAGCCACAGACATTAAGTGACTTGCCCAAGGTCAAACAACCACTATGTGTCAGAGGCAGGATTCAAACCCAGGTTTGTCCTGGCTTCAAGGCCAATTCTCTATCTACTACACTGTGCTGCCTCTAATATTTTATATTAATTGTCAAATGTCATCAATGTAACTCAGTACAATAAAATGTCAGTACAATAAAATGTCAGTATTCCAGATTCTATAACTTGAGGATGTGTCATAAACTAAATGAGGCTAGGCTGAAGTTTTCTTTTGCACCTTCTGCAAGAAAATATTAACATAAATGGAGAGAATTTTCAAGAAGAAACTTTTTAAGACTCGAAGGACTTTAGCACCATCTATTTCAATCTAAACAATGCATATATCAATAAGTGTATTCCCATCTGTTCATTAAAGTAGTCCCTTTAAGTATCTCTACTAGGCAATACTTTATTAATGCTCCAGTCTCATTATGTACCTAAAAGCGGCACAACTGCATTTCTTTGAAAACACTCTCTGATTTTGATTTGTTGTTTTATTTTTTGCTAATACAGAGAGAAAGTGTAAGAAAAAATCAAAGAGAAAAGAAGGGAGAAAGGGGAAAAGAGAGACAACATGATTTTGCTTTAGTCTGAATTCTTGCTTTAGTTTTTAGAGAAAGAGTTAATCAGAATCAATGAATCACACGGTTGAGAGCTATTCACTTTGGCATTTTGGGCCCCCCCCCCCCCGTTTCAGCTTTCTGTCAGACTGAACATGCTTCCCCCATCATAGATGAGGGTCTTTCATATTGCTAATAAAACTAGAGTGGGTTTGCTGATTGTTGGTAGATTAGCAGGCCACTTGAGAGTAAAAGTATTTTGCTGGGGTTCTTATGTAACCCAATATTATTTTCTAAAATATCAGCCCTATGTTCTATTAGATTATTACAATGCCAAACCATTATTTTATAAGGCTTAACATTAATTAGCCAATTATAAAATATTATCCATAAAAGAGTGATTGAAGATTTTTTTAAAAAGGGTCTTTCTAGACTTTGTTAGAGATTAGAAAGATTACTTTTATGAACTGAATTTGTTTTTCCTTAAGGACTATAATGAATCACAACCTCTTGAGTGATTCCTTCAATTAAACAAAGATTTCATATGGCCTTTTTATTTTTTAAAAACGAAATTTTACTGATTCCTTTTACTTTTATATCACAGCCATTTCTGAATACACTGAAGCTCTGTTACCTCACTCACTGCCCCCCAACTCCTTTCCCCCCAATTTTTGGTTTTCTGGTAAGAAAAGAAAAAGAAAGCCACAATTAAGCACAACCTATCTGGAAACATATGCAACATTCTGCATCTATAGCCCCTGCTGCTCCAAGGAAAGGAGTGAAATGAATTTCCCTGTCTCTTTTTCAAAGCAATGATTAGTCTTTATAGATGCATAGCTTTTGACTTAGTTTTAATTCTCAGATGGCCATCTTATAAAGTTTTTTTTTACTAACATCTTTTGTTTTTATATTTTCTCAACTAGGTCTGTGGCGCTCCCCTTCCCTTTCCCTGCTCCAAGACATCCCATTTCTGAAAGAATTAAAGAAGAAAAAAACAACCAGCATTACCACAAAACTACCCAGCACGTCCAGGGAGCCTAACTGCAGAGAGAATGTTTCCCACCTCAGCAAAGAAGGGAGGGAGGTGCAGTTTTTCATGTTTTTTCTGGGGCAAAGTTTGGTCATTATAATTATGCAGGGCTGAGAGTTTTTATTGCAAGTATCATTATTATTCTGTCCATTTACATTGATGCCGTCATTGGTATATTGTATTCCTCGTTTTGCTTGCTTTACCATCAATTCATAAAAGTCCTTTCGTGCTTAGAGGCCACTAGGGGGCACCACAGTGCACAGAATGCCAGATTTTGATTTAGAAAGACGGGAGTTCAAAATCGACCTCACATACTCACTAGCTCTGTGACCCTGGACAAGTCATTTAACTTATGTCTGTTTCATTTCTTTTATCTGTGAAATGGAGATAACAATTGTACCTTGCTCCCATAGCTGTGAGGATCAAATGAGATAATATTTTTAAAGTGCTTAGCAGAATGGCTGGCGCATAGTAGGGTTTTAGAAATGCCCATTTCCTTCCTCCCATGTTTTTCTGGACACTTCATATTTCTCTGACGACTATTTCAGAAGCCTTTTTAGAATGTTTCAGCGAATAGATAGGTCCCATTAAGAAGATGTTGCATCAAAGTTTCTAAGATCACTCCAAAGACCAAGTCTAAAGACAAAAGTGCCATCAGAGCTCCTCTCTAAAAGGGACTTTCAGAACATAAGAATAGGGACTCAAATATAATCTCGTGAAAAGTTTCTGATGCAGGAGGCTGGAGGTTGAAGAATTCAGACCAAGCCTCCCGGATAACCTTTTCCCTTTAAAAGGCCAAGGGAAGGCTAAAGGGAAAAGGTTATCCCTTTAAAAGGCTGAGGTATATTAATCTAATCTATTCAAATTCAGAATTTGTGATTATTTAGACATGAAATACTTTAGGTAAGTGCTATTATTTTTCTCATTTTACAGTTGAATGAACTGAGGCAAAGAGGTTGGCCACAAAGTGGTGAATATTCCTTAGCCACAGAAGTTCTCAAAGGCCATCCATCTACTTAGGTGAAAAGGAATTGGGATCCTTGGTGGGGGGTACCCACCCTACCCCAAATCATGACTCCTTAAGTCTATGAGATAGACTATAGGAGCGCTTGACATACAGTAGGAGCTTAAGAAATGTTTGTTGACTTAATCAGGACAGAAGGAAGTCAGTCCACTCACCCACCAATGTCCCAGAGAGGCATATATGATTAAAAGAACGTTACTAAACCGTTGAACAGGGAAAAGCCATGCGCCGCTTTTGATTCTGCACAAGACAAAATGCCCTGCTGGCCAGTGGTATGAAGAGTGTCAGTACAAGCATGCAGAAATAGTGGAAGGCTTAGACACTTACCGACTTGCTTTTCCTAAACAGAAGCTGATTACCAGCCAGGGTAAAATAACGGGTTTTCCATCTTTTAATGAACTTCCATCGAACTTGCTTCTCTTTCAGTTTTCCTTCCATGAGAGGTTGGCCATCTTGATTTACAACTGGGAAAGGTGGAAACAAAATAGATTATCAAGACATTCATTTCCCTTTATTTATTTTGGCAGGAAATCAAATGTCTTAGCACTGTACAGTGAACCTGAAACTCAATGAAACAGATTTGGAGAGTCGCCCCATAAATTATGAAACCAATTAAGTTTCTCCCCCAAACTCCACAATCCAGACATGATTATAAGAAAGCATTGAAAATCCTTCATTGGCATTGCTGTTTTACAGCCCTAAAATAGTATTGGTCTCAAATGATAACAGAGAATTATGAGTTTGGGGTTCAAGGCCTAGAGAGGCAGCTAATTTTCTGGGCATCAATTAACTCTGATTTCAGTTTGCCATTCTTTCAGATGGGAAAACACTGACTTAGAAAAGAGTTAAAAGCCTTCTCAAAACTGTTCTATGCACCGTAAGTCCAAGTTACTGATATTGTGCCATTAGTAATGGATTTTAAAGAAGATGCCTGCCCATGATCTGTGACCTAATCACAGCTTGGGAATGAGACTCTAAATGGTCAGTAAGTCAGCATTTTCAGCAACAATCAGTTGGGTATCACAAAGTACACCCCCTCCCCTGGGCTGTACAATGAATCTACTGAAGAAAATACATTCAACTCTGATTTGATTTGCCACACATAGTTACATTGTAATTCTGAGTGGTCTTTTATGTGAGGAGATGACTTTGCAGTAAGGAAACTGGTTACTTAAATGGGGGAAAAATGGAATCCTTTGCTTAATGTAGAAATGCCTTTTTTATATAATATTTATTCACTCAATGGGCTTGGGTTGAACCTGACCTTAGGCTAGGCGATAGGCATTCCATAAGAGAAATGAAGACAGTCCTTGCCCTCAGGATGCTTTCATTTTACTGAAGAACACAACAGCAGCAACAACTCACTCACACACACAGACACAGACACAGACACACACACACACACACACACACACACACACACACACATACAAAATACATAACGTGTACGAAGAAGTACTCCTCCTCAAGGGACTTTTATTATTGTCAACTTTTACTTTGTGGTGCTAGGTCAAAGATTGACCCAGGATTCCGCAGCAATAATTATCAAAGGAAGGATGTGAATTTAGTCCTTCCTGAATGTGTCTAGCCCTCTATCCACTATATCATGTGGCCTCCCTAATGTATGACTGACTTATGTTAAAAATGAAAGCTTTGGCACATTTTTCAGAGTTCACTAATTCAATTATCGTTCAGGCTAAAGGATATAGGGCTACTCTTTCCCTCAAACACAGCAGGGGTGTTATGTGTTATCTTTCTCCTTCCACATGAGGATTACAACAACAGGGCCTCACTCTATATGAAGATACTATCTCATGTTCAACTTTTATCATTTTCCACTAAAAAATGAACTGTATTTGGTTTCTGGACCAATTATTATTTGGAATTTTTAGGCCAAATGAAAACCTAATGGTAGGAAAAAAATGACCTAAAGTAGGCTTAATTTAAATGCTTAGGAACCTTAATCTCTTCTCTCCCCACCCCCCCAAACCTTTTAGAAAGCTGGAAAAGAGGGCCGATTTCCCCAAACCAATCTTCTTTTTAAAGTCATACCCATTAGCAGTCCTCGGTTTCCTGTTGCTGGGGTACAGACTCAAAGATAGATCTAATTTGCCTGTCATTCTTTCTACTGGCATTTCTCTGGGCACCAAAGTCCTTGTGGAAACCGAATCCCTCTCTTTTGCAGCCAGTTAGAGAAACAAGAAGTCATTGTACTAGTCACTAGTTGTGCAAGTGTCAGATTTTACTTGTTTCAGAATTTCTTAAGAGAGGAAGGAAAGTCGTCTGACTCAGTCAGATAAATAGCATGTGATGTTTAGGAGGTTCAAAGCTCTAGGGCTCTCTGCTTTTGGGGTATAGTGGCATGTGGTTGGAAGAGAATGATAGTTGCAAAATATAGACCTCTACATGATTTTGAACCTCCCAACAAGAAGTAAAGTAGACACTTCAGTCAGGTATAGGTGTTATTTGCCCCATCTTACACATGAGGAAACTGAAGCTGAGGAAGTTTAAGTGACTTGTCCCTGGTGACACAGCTAATGAGTACCTGAGGTAGGATTTGAGCCTGGCTCTTCTTGTCAGAGGACCTGGGTTCAAATCCTGCTTTGGTCAGTTACTATCTGTGTGACCTAGTACAAGTCCCTTAATCTCTATGGGCTACAGGTCCCTCAATTGTAAACTGGAAGTGTTGAATTTGATCACCTCTAAGGTCCTTTGTAACTTTAAAGCTATGATTTTATGACTTAAATATAGCACCCCTTCTTCCATGCCAGATGCTAACCTACGTTTCTAATTCTAGCTGTTCAGTGAGACAACAAACTATTAAGTACTTTGTGCCAAGCACTGTGCTAGGCTCTGAGAATATAAATGGAAGCAAAAAGAAAGACAGGCCTTGGCTTCAACAAGCTTACTTTCTAACAGGGGATGAGAACACAAAAAAGGAGATGAAAAGTGGTGGAGGAGGGAAGAAAGAGGTGCATGATGAAGTCCAGAGACTTAGGAGTGGAGTAAAGAGAGGAATTAGGAATTGGCATGACTGACTTTGGGAACTTCCTCAAAGTGGAGGGTCTAGGGAAAATTCCCCAGTTGGAGGAGATTGAGTGGGTGGAGGGATCTTCTGGGGTGAGAAGGATGCTGAAATGGACATCTCACAAGTATTTCAAACTCAACATGTCCAAAACAGAGCTCATTAGCTTTTCCTCACACTTCACCCCTTTTCTGAACTTTCCATTTCTATTAGGGTACGATTATCTTTCTGTTTAATCAGTCATTTATTAAGCTCCTACTGTATGCCAGTCACTCATGCCAGTCCCCCTCACCCTTACATGCAATCAGTTGCCAAATCTTATATATTTCTAGCTCTATAGCATCTCTCATATCAGTACTCTGTTCTTCATTCATATGGTCAATCCCCTGCCCCCAGCTTAGATTCTCATCACCTCTCACCTGGTCCATTCTAAGAGACTTCTAATTGGCCTCCCTACCTTCAGTCTCTTTTTTCTTTAATTCATCCTCCACAGAGCCACAAAGTGATACTCCTAAAGCACTCCTACTGACTATGTAACTCCTTTACTCAATAAACTCCAGTAGCTCCCTATTACTTTTAGAAATGAATGTGCGCGTGTGTGTGTGTGTGTGTCTGTGCGTGTGCATTAAAAGCTCTTCACATTCTGCCCCCAATCTATTTTTCCAGCCTTATTAACTGTTACTCCACTTTATACAATCTGCATCCTCACTAATTCTCAATTCAGTTTCTTTGCTGTTCCTCACACATAACACTCTATCTCCCATCTCCGTACCTTTGCACAAGATGTCCCTCCCTTCCGGAATACACTCTGCTTACTAGGGAGCATTAACCAAAGCACAATGTCCAAAGCAAGGAAGGTGACAGTCCCATTCTATTCTGCTTTAGACCAGGGCTTCTGAAACTTTTCCCACTGAAGCACCCTTTCAGCGCTTCTTAAACTACAGGTCATGACCCCAGATGGGATCACAATTTAGACCATATTCTGAATATTATGTTCAGTCCTAGATACCACCTTTTGGGGAGCACTTTGATAATCTAAAGTACATTCCAGAGAAAGTGACAAGGATGGTGAGGAAACTGAATCAGTAGAAGGTCTTAGATAGCTTTAGCTTGGAGAGAGAAGACTTGGGGGAGGGAGAAAACAATCATGAGAGCTGTCTTCAAGTATTTGAAAGTCTCTTATGTAGAAGGGGGATTATATCTGTTCTTTTGGCCTCTCATAGGGCAGAACTAAAAGCAATGAGTAGGAGTTGTAGAGCCTGATATAGGCCCAATATAAGGACAAGTTTTGTAAAAATTGGAGCTATCCAAAAGTAGAATAGCTTGTCCTATAAGGTAATGTCTTCTTTATCACTGGAGGTCATTAAGTGGGGGCTGGTTGGAGAACTATTATAGTAGCCTTTTAGTGCATCTCCCTGCCTCAAATATAGTCCTTCTCCCACTAACCTTAAAGCTTTTCCTTAAAGATACCCCCAAAGCTCAGGTCTGACCTTGTCTTTACTCCACCTCACCTCCACTCAATAAACTCCAGTGGCTCCACATTATCTCCCAGTTCAAATATAAAATCTTCTGTTTGGCTTTGAAAGCTCTCCATAGCCTGCTCTCTTCTATTTTTCTAGTCTTCTTAATCCATATTCCCTTTCTGCCACCCCCACCCCCCATCACCACCCAAATGGTCTTTGGTCCAGTGATACTGGCCTCCTTGCTGTTCCTTGAATAAGACTCTCTATCTCCCAATGCCAGGCATTTTCACTGGCTATCTCCTATGCCCAGAATAGTCTGCCTCCTCACCTCTACCTTCTAGCTCCCCTGGCTTCCTTCAAATATTGGCTGATAACCTGCCATCTAGAAGATGCCTTTTCAGATCCCCCTTAATTGTACTGCCTTCCTTCTGAGACTATATATACATACACACATGTATATGTATGTATGTATATGTATACATATATACACATATATGTATGTGTGTGTATCTATATCTATCATCTACCTATCCATCTATCTTTATCTCTTTTCTTTGTACATAGTTGTTTGCAAGTTGTTTCCCCCGGTAGACTGTAGGGAATATAGTCTTTAGAGGAGGGACTGTCTTTTGCTCTTCTTTGTATCTTTAGCACTTTCTTAACAAAGTTGTCTGACACATAGCACGTGTTAAATAAATTCTAGCTGACTATGGCTATAGAATTCTTAGAATTTCTAGATTCCTTCAAAACTGAGCTTCAAGTGCAGCTTCCACCATGAAGCCAACCTCAATCTCCTGAACAGCAAATGTCTCCCTGCCCTCCCCTATTACCTTATATTCCTTTTGGATACACTCAGATGTGTGTATGTTGTATCTCCTAATAGAATGTAAACTTCTTGAGGGCAGGCACTATTTCATTTTTGCCTATCTATGGGGCCCGCACAATCTCTGACAAATAGTGATTACTTAATTAATGTTTGTTGCTTGCTTAGTCTGAATCCGGCTGAGGAGGAATGGACAGGTCAGGGCAATTTCTGAGATATATGGTTCTTTTACTTGCCACCATGATTGAAGAGGTGACAGTAATACAAGCCTACCTGATGAGGGGTAATTCTTTGAATACATTTTATATTTGTGTGTGTGTGTGTGTGTGTGTGTGTTGTTTCCTTCAGCAAAATGTAAGCTACTTGAGGGTAAGGGCTGTTTGTGTTCCTGTTTTGGTGTTCTCTCCATCCGCTTACACGGAATAACTGCCTCAAGCCTCCTGAATGAATATGGGTATGGAGTTTCTACATTGAGCAATCTCCTCATTTAGAATTTTCCATTAAAAGCCCTTTCAGGTTCAAAATCCCATTACTGTTAAGACCTTGTGATGTAGGTTACCATTGGTGTTAGGCAAACATCAAAGCAGCTTTATGTGCTGAGATTTTCAATTCTGACTTGGAAACACATATGCACAAATGTGGACTAGACACCCATTTCATTTGGAGGAATGCAATCACTCTGCTTTCTAGACATAGTTTTAATTTCTGAACTGCATCTTATTCCTCCTAATACAATGGTGCTCTTATTAACTCTATCATCCCAGACCGGTCCCGAAGATATGCAAAATATAAAGAGCCTGGATATGAGAGCTTTTGAAATCATGACTGATTCTAGTCCTCATTCTGAGTAATATGTAGACAATTAAGCATAGCAGGTCTTTCACCAGTGCAGACTAAAGTGTTTTATTCAAAGAGTATTTGTCACAAAGTTTCAAAGGGAAGCCTGATAAGACATTGCTCAGGGAAATGAGAGAGACATGATGTGGACAAAGATATAGTGTCCCCAAGCTGGGAACACCCAGAATAAGAGGCCTGAGACAAGATAATGGAGACTTAACAAAGAGCTGGAGTATGGAGGCCTCGGACTGTTGCAGGGAAAGCAAGAATTCAGGCATGAAATGAGAAAGGAATGAAGAAACAGATAATGAGAGAAAGAAGTTTGAGAAAGAACAAAGCCTGGAGAGGAAATGCTAGCTTTTATTCAGAGGAACTGGAGTTTAGCCTGAGGACCTAACACCAGTATTGATCTGAACATATTTGGTAGGAGCCAAGATCTTTGTGTCTGCAGGATTAATTTTAAATAATTTGTAAAGGGCAAAAGTGAGGCATGACTTGAAATGTTTTTCCAGTCACTTTTCCATGTTTCCTTTGCAATTAAGTTGTCCAGATGTGTGTGGTACGGCCATTCTTAAAATATGTCAATGACATATTTTGTTCTTATAAGAAAATAATTCCCTTGTGAGGTCACAGTCACCTCATTTACAAAGCAGGATCTAATTTTCTCTAAGGATTACCATAGTTATTTTAAAGAACAACATACCGGGTTGTACTGTGCCTCCATTATTTAATTTCTGCAGTGAGGTCACCACTTTACATTTTGTAGTTCTGATCTCTTGCCTAAAAATTCTGTGCATATCTTTAAAACACACCTGTTTACTAAGCATAGACTGACTTGCCAGCTGATTGACCAATTCGCTCAAAATACCCCAATTTTTCTAACTTCTTTCTACCCAATCTGGAATAAAAAAATCCTGTCTTTAAAGCATTAGCCATTACATTAGATATTTAAATACTCCACAGCACCAAGAAATACGTAGCAAATAAGTTGGAACTCAATGCAACAAGCATTTATTGTCTACTATATGCAAGGTGCTATGATAAGTACTAGGGATACAAAGATTTCATGGAGTCCTCACCATATCGAACTTTCAGCACCTTAGAGACTTGAAGTCTGTTTAAACAAACTAGTGTCTGGCTACATGTCTGCCATCTTGTATTTGTGAAATTGATTTAAAAGACCCCCAAAGGTAAGACATGCTACATAGTTATCCCTACAAAATCTGATCTTTTAGATCTAGTTCAATTCTCTAGCTCATTGGGATCTTTTTGGACCCTGATCCTTATATTCCTTCTAATTTTGTGTCGCCTGGAAATGTGATAAACACGCCATGCGTGCCTTTATCCAAGTCACAGATGAAAATATTGAAGGGTATGAGGCGAAGCACAGATTTCCAAGAAGCTACAATACTGATCTTTCAAGTTGAGATTGGACCATTAATGATTTGTCTATAGGTCTGGCCATTTAACCAGTTCTGAACCCACTTAGCTGAACTATTATTGACTTTAACATTTCTCCATCTTGCCCACAAGAATAACACAAGTAACAGGAATACCATTTGTCCAATGCTTTGCTTACAAAATGTTTGACTACCTAAACTATCTCTATCACATGCCCCTAGTCTACTGATTTTGGCTTGCTTTGAATTGGAATTGGAATTTCCTAACTCTGGGTCATAAAGTGAGAGGCAGTGGGGAGGGGGTGGATAGAGGGCTGTCTTCAAAGTCACAAAGACTCAAGCCATGTGACCCTGGGCGAGTCACTTAACCTCTTAGTTCTCTAAGAAACTCTCTAAGACAGACTTACAGAGAAAGTGCTGGGAAAAGGGCTTTCCTCACTGGGAGTTTCCTATGTGTGATATCACATATCTAGTCACTATCCTGTATCTTGAGTCATAAAAGTAGGCTTAACATTTGCTAAGTGATTTCACCTTTCAATTCTTCCACCTGCATAGGGGTCATTGGACATTGATTTTTCATTTTGGCTTAATATTGCAAAGACAAATGCTTCTTCTCTCAAATATGCTGATGTATGATTTAGTGTGCTCTTCGTGCAGAATACGTGCAATATTTCAAACACATTTTTATGAGTTCCTTTGTGGATAACCTCACAATCGCTATGCTGCAAGTCATGGGCATGTCAGGCATTTGTTTTTTTACCTTAAACCATGTGGCCCAATATAGAAATGTGCTAGGATTGGAAATTGATCCCTAAAGGAAAATGAAAGTTAACCACAGAGGGCTTTGGGTCACTGATCTTAGCTTGATTTTCACTAAGGCTCCTAAATTATTGGATCCCAAGTTCATCATACTCATACTTTATTTTTTCATATGTGCAGTGAAATATTAGTATTATCTTCACAAATCTTGTTTCTTTTCACAAAGTGTTGAAGCTATCCAGCTTATAATAAATGTGGCCATAAAACAAAGCTTTCCCCCATGAAAACCCGGTCCCTGAAAAAGCCAAATCATGCTTTCATTAATGCTCGACTTTACATTATAAAATGAATTCTGTTTCTGCCCCCTCCCCCCAGAACTGCTCCTGATTATCCTCTAATTACAAGCCTGTAGATTCCAAGATCAGAGTCTGGGAAACCATTGTCCATGTTGGTCATCTGTTGCATTTCACCACAATGTCCAACAGAGTGTTCCAAGTATCTCAATGCAGTTTGAAACTATTAAAGCCCTCTTACTTTCGAACAATTGTTTTTCAATTTGCTATCAAAGGAAAATGGAATAATAAACATTAAAATCCTAGGAGTAGACAAAAATCTATAGTTCAGTGAATGGGGGTACTGTGCCTTGATCTAATTACTTCTGTATAATCAGCGTTGGCAACAAGGTGGCCTAGTGGATAGAGCACTGAGCTTGGAATCAGAAAGACTCCTCTTCATGAGTTAAGTCTGACCTCAGACACTCACTAGCTGTGTGACCCTGGGCAAGTCACTTACCCCTGTTTGCCTCAGTTTCCTCATCTGCAAAATGAGCTAGAGAAGCAAATGGCAAACCGCTCCGGTCTCCTTGCCAAGAAAGCCCCAGATGGGGCCACAAAGAGTCAGACACGAGTGAATGACTGAACAGTAACAACAAGTGAGTAGTGATGCGCTGCTACCTGCTGTAATTTGGTGACTTTTATTAGAAGAAGGCCAGATACCATAGGGGTATATGGAAGAAAGACAGTTTAAACCACTGTATATTGAACATAAGAGGGGTTTTTTTTGGCCAACTTATTCCTAGATATCTACACAGTATGTCCATTTTTGGAGGCTTTCGTAGATCCATGCCCTTACCAATGTGGGGACTCCCTCAAATAAAGAAGATATCAACCCACCCACACCTGCCCATCATGGCCTGTGATTCACCATGAAGGGTCCACCCATTGTGCCAGGAAACACATCCTGTACACGTTTTGCACATATGACAATGGAGCACATGGGCTAGCCATTGATTTTCTCTTCTTTAACTATTTTTAAAGAATTAAGTCTAGTGATTGGTATATATATATATAGGCAAAGACAACATTTTTTTTTTTGGCGGGGCAATTGGGGTTAAGTGACTTGTCCAGGGTCACACAGCTAGTGCCAAGTATCTGAGGTCAGATTTGAACTCAGGTCCTCCCAACTCCAGGGCTGGTGCTCTATCCATTGTACCACCTAGCTGCCCCAACATTTAAATTTTTATGAAATTGTAGAGCTAGGAAGGTTTGTCAGAAACAGTCAGTCAGTAAACATTTATTAAATGCCTACTACGCACTGGGCTAAGAATTGGGGATACAAAGAAAAGCAAATAACAGTCCATACTTCCAGTCCATTTTTATATTCATCTAGGTAAAGCCTTATCTTTCCTAATCTTAATAATGCCCAGAAACGGAGAGGCAATAACCTTCCATTTGAATCTTTTGCAGGGTCTAACTGCCTCTTTGGAAAATAAGAATTGTCTTGTTGTGATATCATTATGGTAGGTGGTGCTTGGAGGCAGGAAGATCTGAATTCAAATCCCACCTCAGACATTCACTAGCTGGGCAAGTCACTCCAACCTCGCTCAGCCTTGGCTTCCTCACCTATAAAATGGGGATGATAGCACCTACCTCCTAGGGTTGTTAGGAAGATATAGCCTATGTACAATGCCTTGCAAACCTAATGTTAGGTATTATGTGTGTTCTGATTGTTGTAAGCTTTTGAAACCAGAGAGACAATTTTCAGCTCTGAAGAGAAAGACATGAAATTGTTTGGAAATATTCCTCCAACTTGACTCAACAATAAGCATTTATGTGTTTACTGTGTGTCAGGTACTACAGCCCCCAGACGACAGAACCAGGAGTAACGGATGTAAGATGCAAAGATGCCATTTTAGGTTTGATGTCAGAAAAAACAAAAACAGCAATTAATCAAAAGTGGAATGAAGGAGGTCACTGGCTCCCCTTCAGTGGAGGTCTTCAAGAGAGACTGCCTGACTTCCAGTTTGGTATTCTCTACTGCGCATTCATCATTAGCCATGGGTTAGATGAGGCAGAAGAGGTCCTATACGACTCTGAAATGGCTGCCTGCAAAAACAGTCCCTTCCCCAAAGGAGCTTATATTCTACTGGGGGGGCATATGTACACAGATTATAGAGAAAAAATAAATGCAATACCAAATAGTTTTCCAGTGTGATTGTGTGTGAATGAGGGCACTAACTGGGGGAGAAAAACAGGGAAGACTTCATATAGAAGTGGCTCACAAGCTGAACCTTACAAGGAGATTGGGACTCTAGGAGATTGAAACTCAGAATCCTAAAAGCCTCTTCCTGAAAACCTTTTACATTATGATTTCCTAGGGACCAAGAGAATAAACCCCACTGTAATGAATCTCTCATATGACAATGAAGGCAATGGAAGCCCAGCCTTTTGCCTTCCAGATGTCTCAGGTATGTGTAAGAGCACAGGTAACTTTAGGTGAAAAGAGTGAAAGCACCTGACTCCACAATGTTTTGAAAGTGGCTAACTGGAAAGCCAGACACATTCCAAAACAATTCAGCTGACTAATCCTTCCGGCTTGATTCCTTGCACACTTCCAAGATGCAGGAGTCATGAATCGAAGAGATTGGCCTTGTCCTTCGGAAGGCATCTCAGTTGTGCTGAGTACAATTGTGAAATCTCTATGTCCTCATTCCTGTGGGCTAACAGTGTCAGTAATAAGCACTAGCAGTCCAGCCTATTCTCAGAGGGGTCTTTGCTTATAGTGCAATCCTCTGCACTATATCTAAAAAAAGTGATTAAAGGAAAAGGAATCAGCATTTGGAAGGATTGAAAATAGCTTCTACTGTAATCATTTCCCACAAGTTAAATGAGAGAAGAATTTACTGTTATCCAGGCAGCACAAATCACTAGGGAGAGGGAGTATGTTTTGAGAAATTTTGACTTGTTTCTTTGTTACTCTCCAGTATATTTTAGTTAGAGGGAGTACTTCCTTTGGAATTTCCAATGTTACCTATTAAGGTAAGGTTCCTACATACTCAGTAGCTTCCATTTCGGTTTCCCCATCTATTCATCATGGTGGAGTCCTAACCTACTCTTCCCAGTATTGTATTCTCTCTGTCTTTATCTCTCAATCCAGGTGGGTAAGAATGAAAAGTGACAGAAGCCTGGAGAAATCCACATGTGGTAGCCTTGGGTACTTCACTTGGTGGGGAGAATGCAAATGAGAACTAAAGTTCAAAGATTCACATAAGCCTAAAGCTGAAAGGGACTTCAAGAGGTCAATTGGCTCAGTCCCCTGCCTCCAAGAAGTGGACCTGAACCATGTAAAGAGATGACCGTTTTCTTATGCACCCCCACTTGCTTAAAAACACTCACTGTAGTAGCATAAGAACATAGATCAAGGAAGGGTCCTCAGAGACTGCTGGCGCAGCCCCTTCATATCACAGAGGATGAGGCCCAGGGAGGTGAAGTGATTATACAAAGTCACATGCATAGTATGTAGTGGAGGTAGGATTTGAACTTGGGTTTTCTGAGTTTTCTAGGGGTCATGCTATCATCATACAAAGAAACTTTCTATATTAGCTCACAGATCCTGTTGCTTGCCACTCTCCAGTCTCTTTAGACTACTGCATTGCGCCATCATGACTGTGGTCCCTTCGCACCCAGAAGGGATGTATTTCTAGTGGTCCTCCCTGAATTCTCTAAGAGAATAGCAGCAGAGGACAAGGTCTCTCCCACCCTGTAGGCAGCTCTTCATTCCTCTTTGCTTTGCTCCTGGTTCTCTGAATTTCTTTCTCCACCATTTTCACTCCCCCTTCAACCCCTTCCTTGGATTAGTTAGTTCTTTCTAGGACTTTTATTGTAAGGAAAGTAACCAGAACAGTCATACTCAGTCTTTCATTTCTGGCTCCTGAATTTCTGGACTTCTTTCTTCACTATGACCATAGGTGGGCTACCTCTTCTCCCCAATTCATGGCCCACAATGGATACTCTCAGTTTTCCTAGCAAAGTATGAGGCAAATTTGCCTATTGAAAGGGGCAAGGAAAGGGAAATTACTCCCTTGGTTTGAAGAGAGAAGAGGTTTAGAGAAGCTATTGTGGGAAGGGTAATATGGAATCAGTCAGAGAGGAACGAAAGGCTGGCCGTGCAGTGCGGAGGACCCAGCTTAGATTCAGTAACAGATTCATAGTGGACAATTGGCAATGTTTTGGGACTTATTCGAGTGACATTCGGCAGCAAATGAACAGCATTGGAGAAGGTGGATGATGGGGGCCATTGAGGGTTTGGAAAAAGGACAAAGGCAGCAGTGGAACAAGGGAGGAGGGATTCATTGTCACTGGCAATGCATTCATCACCAAGCGGCCAGACTACTGGTTATAAGCCTCTCCAAACTTAATTAGACTGGTCCACGGCAAGTAGCAGGTGTGCTTTTGCTGGGATCGTACCTAATAGTCGCAATAGCTAACACAGTGGTTTCAGGTTTACAAAGTACTTTCGATGTATCACCTCAACCACCTTGTGAGTATCCCCGTTTGTAAAATTGGGAAACTGAGGCTGAGAGCAATTAAGTCATTTGCCCAGGGACATATAGCTAGTGAATGTCTGAAGGCATATTTGAATTCAGTTATTCCTGACTCCATGTCCAGAGCTCTATTCCTCATTAAGACTCGAAATCAGAGGATATTTAAAACCTTGAAAACTTTCCAGGGTGGTAGAACTTGTTAGAACTTGTGCCCACCTGGCACAACCTTTGAGAACCTACTTGCCTCTGGACACAATGAGACATCTGAGTAGGACTCTTTGGACACTGGCATCCTTCTGACAGCACGAAGCCTTGCAACATTGCCGAGTCTCCTGAATGAGACCCATAATCCCTGAAAAGAACTCATCTGTATTATGGGCTGGGTCAGGGCAGGTTTGAATTAATGTCCCACATTCCCACAACACCATGTGGGGCGCTTGTGATAGAAAACATGGTACAGATCTGGGGCACTTCAAGTAAACTTTGCCTCCTGGTAGATTGATCAGGGACCCAGATATGGGTCCTTTGGCCAAGGAGGACACAAAGTTAGCTCTGGGACTCTAGTAGGGGGCTCCTGAGACCGTGGGATCTTCTTTGTCTATGGCTCTTAACCTTCTTGATAGAAGCTTGTCCCTGCTTTTACTCTGCCATGAATATTTTTTTTTAGCCACTTTGGGGCATGACTGATTTTACCAGGGAGGTATTGAATATACATGTGTATATATATGTGTGTATATATATATATGTGTGTGTGTATGTGTGTGTGTGTGTGTGTGTGTGTGTGTGTGTATATACGTATGTATGTATGTGTATATATATATATATATATATATATGTATATCTATATATATAAATTTAAAAAAGCAATTGTTTATCTGAATCCTCAGACTTAGGTTGATTCCTTATACCAGATGTAACCACAACTGGGACAATCAGTAACACAGGGATAGTGATACAACCTCATGCAGGCAGTTAGGTGGCACAGCAGATAGAACGCTGCACCTCGAGTCAGGAAGACTTGAGTTCAAATTGACCTATGTGACCAAGCTGTGTGACCTTGGGCAAGTCGCTTAATCTGTCTGCCTCAGTTCCTCCTCTGTAAAATGAACTAGAGAAGGAAATGGCAAAGCACCCAGTATCTTTGCCAAGAAAACCCCAAATCAGGTCATGGAGAGTTGGACAGGACTGAAACAACTGGACAACAACAACAAACAACAAGCACAGTGCCTGAAGCCTAGTAAATACTTAATTAAATGTTTGTTGAATGACTCACTGACCAACTGATGGTACTATCTAAAGAAAACAAAACCACAATCAACATTGCTTGTATTTTCCATTTTTGTATCTTGCTGGGAGCATGTAAGTCCCAAAGCACACATATGAGTCGTACTCGAATAATAGCTAGATAGTTCCCCATGTGCCTCCACTGTATTTTAAATTTGGAGCTTAAAATGGAATGTGCATTAAGGCAATATGTCTACTCAGTGTCATGGTAATAGGCCCATTTTCAATAAATGTGGTTGATACAATTTATACAATTATGTAAAGTACCACATAATTAATACAAACTTTTTGGAAAGTTGAGGGTTGAAATATCAGTTAAAACAGGGATTCTCCCCATTGTCAAAACATCACTATGTTCTCTTCTCACGTCCCTGGCCTCTGTTGGCACTTTTAGCCTATGTCTGTTCTCAGGCTATATTTAGCTCAAAGGGAAGGAATGCAAATAGGAAAGCCTGGACACATTAAATGGGGTCTGGAAGTACTGGGCACCACATTCAGAAAGAGCAGCTATAATAGGAACTCTTGGTGGGCTTAGCTCACTCTCCAGGCCTGTTCTTAGGGCATCTTCAGACAGCTACAGTTAAATATTCATGATGTTAAAGATTCCGCATACTGTATTGGGTAAGCTCACTCTTGAGGGCTTCTATGAGCCTCCAAAGATAAGCACCTTGCTTCCCTTCTGCTCTCCAATCAAGTATCTTTTGTGCCTTTTTCTTTTTTGGTTGAGGAAATAATGACTAATTTAAAAGTTTTGTAATGGAGGCAACTCTGTCCTTCAACTTCTCGGTTTTTTTGAATTGCTTTTAAAACGCTCTTCTTTCCCTTCCTCCCCTCCCTTCTACTTAATCTTGGGTCAATTTGAATTTCTTAATCAGCCAGCAATCTGTACTCCACTAAAGGGCTTGGGTCCTTAATTGCTCCTTCATACAGGCAGCTCCCTTCTCTACAGGGTAATGCATTTTAATGGGCCCCTTTCCTTTACCCACTCACCCTGGCTCCATCTGGGGAAATAAACAAACTTTTCCAACTCAGCCTCAACATCTTGGCAAGGAACAATAGGACCTACTGTCATAATGGATAATCTTGAAGATGCAAAAAAACAAAAGTTCAAATGAATGAAGTCAATGCAGGTGCTATTATCAATGGCATCCCTGAAGGTGGCAAGTAGACAAAACATCTCTGTCCTCTGCCTTTTCCGTGGGTCTATGATCACTTTGCATCGCCTACTTTATCCATAGTCACTATAAAGAAACAAGAAGCCCGACGATTCAGAGATCTCTCAGAAGCCCAAGTGAGGGGTTTTTCTGTTTTCTAGATGAGTGAAACTTTTGGGGCATAGAGCTATTGTTGGAGGATCTTGGGCAAAATAAAATATCATAGGCTCCACCTGACACTAGGGCTAGGGTACATAGAGTGAGGGGTGGGAAGAAGAGGCAGCAGGGCTTTTTGGATGGGAATGGACCATTAGCAGAGAGATTCTAATTGAATCCATGGGAGCTGATGAGACCACCAAGGAAACACACAAACACAAACACACACACACACACACACACACACACACACACACACACACATATGAGAAGGCAGAGTCCTGTGGGACACCAATGGTTATTGAGCACGACCTGGATGAAGATTTGGCAAAGGAGACTGAGGAGGGGCCAGACAAGTGGGTGAAGAACCAGGAGAGAGCAGGTTTGTGAAAACCTACAGAGAAGATAGCATCAGGGAGAAAAGGGATGATAGACAATGGCAAAGTCTGCTGACGGTCAAGTAGAATGAAGCTTGGGGAAAGGCTTTTGGATTTGGCAAATAAGAGATCAGTAGTAACTTTGTGGATAATAGTATGGATTGAAGGCTGAGGTTGGGAGGGCAGCTTTAGAAAGTTCAGAAGAGAGTGAGAAGAAAGAAAGTGGAGATTGTTTATAGTGCCCTGAGCAAGTCTTTAACACTAAAAAGGGCAGCTGGGTGGTGCCATAGTGCACAGAGCCCTGTGTTTGGAATCAGGAAGACTCATCTTCATGAGTTCAAATCTAGCCTCAGCCTCTTACTGACTGTGTGACCCTGGGCAAGTCACTTCACCCTTCTAGCCTTAGTTTCCTCATCTGTAAAATGATCTGGAGAAGGAAATGACAAACCACTTTAGTATCTTTGCCAAGAAAACCCCAAATGGAGTCATGAAGAGTCAGCCATGACTGAAAAAAGATGACAGCGACAGAAGGGCAGGACAACAATGATACATTTTTAAAAGACACTTAAAACTCAATATATCTCACATATTTCCATTTTATACTTTATGATTTTTGTATAGGCATCAACCATTCCTTAATATTCTAAAGACTTTTCAAATAATTAAAGAAACAAATCATATTGTTCTCCATATGAGGGCCAGATGTCAAATCACTCGACTTGATCCTTGGAGAATTTCTTAAATTTTGGTCCTTCTTAAGAATGTATGTTGCAAGCCAGGTGTGGTACAATGCACATCAGTGGAGTTCCCTGTATTTGTGAGATCATAGACCTGCTCCAGAAAAAAAAAATTAACCAACCTAATTAGCACCATTTGCACTGAAATGAGTAATACCTCATTAAAAATGATCAGTATTACCTTCTTGATGGGAATTGGCAGATACTTTATTCAGCAAATATTCTCCAAGAGCTTCTATATGCCCAGCTATTATTATTTCCCTTTTATGGAGCAAGAAACTGAGGCAGATAGAGGTTAAGTTATCTGAAGCTGGATTTGAACTCAGATCTTCCTGACTCCAGGTCCTATATTCTATCCACGGTACCTCCTAGTTGCTTCTGTTGCTAATCAGGGGCTTGGTAACAAAATGCAGATGAAGCAGGCCCTGATCTTTGGGGGCTTAAATTCTATCGCAGGGAAAGAACTTGACAGCAAATAAGTAAATATTACACATACATACGCAGATGGATGCATTTGTATATGTACACATGTACAATGTATACAATATAATGTGTGTGTGTGTATGTATGGAGATAGATAATGTATACATTGTTACATATATAGATACTTTATAGCTACATATATAAAGTAAGTATAAATATGATATGTATATATATATATATATATATATATATATATAGTGAATAAAAAGGAATTATAAGAGAGGGTTATGAGGGGCTTTTTTCCCTTTGAACCGATCCAGCCCTTCTCCTTTCCATTATTTTGCGCAGATTTCTCCCCTCCATCGTCCTGGTTATAATTGCTGTCACTTGGGAGGAAGAGCTTTATTAGTAATAACAGTTTCTAGTATTTCTATAGTGCTTTAAGGTTTGTGACGAGCTGTACACATTATCTCATTTGATTCTCATGACAGCGTTGGAAGGTAGGTGCCATTATTGTTTCCATTTTACAGAATGTAAAATCGTTTATGTAAAATCTAGGTGAGTCGGAGCTGGCCATATGTCTGCCTCTGCATCTCAGAATTACTCATGGAGCTTACACGATGTCGGGCAACTGAGGCCATCTGCAGATTCCTTCCAAAACTGAGCCCCACCACAGACCGGTTTCAAGATCCAGCAGGACCCTTACCTGTCGCCTTTTCCGGATTATTGCACATGAAACACTGCCACGCGCCTGCTTCTTCACTAAAGCCAAACAAATCGAAGAATCTCACTTCCTCCAGATGTTGCTGCACCTGGTCCAGGTCCTAGTTCAGTAACGAGAAACACAAACAATAAAAACTGCTGCGGTTCGTCCTTGCCTTGGGATAACCTGGAAACTGGATAATGAATTCATTCATTCATATAGCCACTTGGTAAATAGTTGCTGAGTGCCTACTATATCAAATGTTCTTATTGACACTCTGTGGTCAATTCCAAATCATACAAATAAAAACCAGGAGTCTACCCTGATGTCTGACTCTGATATTGCATCCTGTGCTCTCAGAATTCTCAGAGGCTATGCCAGTGGAACATGACCCTGGTGAAGTCTGCAATCACAGCTTTCTCAGTATTTCCAAATACTTTAGAAGCCACACCTGCCGTAGGTAGGCAAGCACTGTTCCCCCACTTTATGATGGAAGGATTACAAAGGCTTGGAGCACTAGTCTTAGTGTCTTTGCTCAAAGTTGGGGCACAGCCAGGATCAGAATTTCAGAGCATTAATTTCCAATTTTTCTTTCCTTCTACAGGTGTGCAAACTTAGTGCCTTTCTCTACATAAACCACAACTTCAAAGTTCTCCAATGATTTTAGAACTGTACATGTAGAGCTTCAGGGGGTTCAGAGAGGTCAGTGTCAAACTCAAGTAGAAGTGGATCCCTGGGGTCACACATTGACTTAGAAAACCACAAATTATCCTTATCTATGTTGCATTGTATTTTTATTAGTTTTGTCAAATTTTCCTCAATTTCACTCTAATCTGGCCAGGGCATCCTCTAGTATTGCAGCTAGGAGGTCATGAGTTTGGCTTCTCTGAGTTCAATTCCAATGTTTTTGTAGATGAGGAAACTGAAATTCAGAGAAGATTAAGCAGATTGCCTAAGGTTACGCAGGTGGCAAGTAGTCAGCAGGGATTTGAACCTAGGTTCTCTGACTTCCATTCTAACCCACCTTCCATGGCATGTCTTTGTCCCTTTCAGTTAGCCAGGAGTAATTTTGAAAATGGGACCTGTATTTGAAAAGAATTTCTTTCTAGAGATTTCTAAATGTTGAGAACTTGCTGGCTCTGGGGTCAGAAAGACTCGTCTTCTTGAGTTCAAATCTGGCCTCAGACACTTACTAGCTGTGTGATCCTGGACAAGTCAGTTAGCGCTGCCTGCCTCAGTTTCCCCATATGTAAAATGAGCTGGAGAAGGAAATGTAAAACTGCTCTAGCATTTTTGCCAAGAAAACCCCAAAAGGAGTCATGCATATTTGGACATGACTGAAAGGACTGAACAATAACAACAATGCTATCTTGCTTTCAGGAAATGAAATTTCCATGGCTCAGCTCAGTGAATGAGTTTGAACTACAAGGTTCAAGGTTCGAGGACCAAGCCTATATAAGAATACAATAATGCCATAAAGAGCATATCAGGGAAGTTGTTGATGCCTTCTTAATATCTAAATCCAGGATCTCAGTAACTTAGAAAGTATTTATTCTAAAAATAAATATGTTATGTGTGTTTTTTTTTTAATAATGTTCTTTAAGATAGCAACTGAAGTATACCCGGAGGTTTTGTAGGTTTCAAAGAATGAAATTCACATGAACATTATGGTGTCAAAAGTAGATGTTCACCAATATCTGTTCCAAGCCTACCAAATCTATGAAACTTCTATTTTACCATTTGAGTAAATAGTACTTCTCTATGTCTCTATATGATTAAATATCAATCTTTCTTCAACCACATCACAGAAATTGTAGTCTCCTGGCAAAACAAAATACTATTCAGTTACATCCTGGGCTTTGTTTTTCTTTCCTGATCTCAGATCAGAGGCTTCTAAGGTTATTGTTTGGTCTATTATTCCCTTTCTGGGGTGAATAAGCTACTTCAGAAGTTATACTGCCATATTGGAATCCTAAAGCAGGCTTCATACGAAGGATCATTGAGGGACAGGGTATCAGGAAAGAGGAGAAGAGAAGGTTTTTAAAGTAGGTAATCAGAGGTTTTAAGATGGAACCTTCCAAGTCAACACCAACAATTCAGGATTGGAGTGGCATGAAAGAGGTCCTCATATAAGCTTTTTAAGACAAATGCAATAGAGATTGGGAAACACGTTTCTATGGAAGGAGAGACTTGAGGACACTGGTCCATGTGAGCATCAAGTCTGGGCATTCTGGAGTTTGGCCAGGATGGAGCTCATGGCTTATGAAAAGCCTCTTCGGACCCTCCTAATTTCCTTACTTTTCTGGCTAACAAGGAGCTAAGATTAAGTCATTTTTATCTGTGGAAGACAAGCTCTGTCACTGCCCTCTTCATCTAGGCTCCAGAGGGCAAAGTTTTGGTCCCCATTAGACTACAGTAATCTTTCAGTTTGCATGTTGTTCTTTGACTAGAGCACTGAGAGTTAAATGACTTATTCAAGGTCACATAGCTAGTGTGTGTCAGAGGCAGGCCTAGAACCCACATTTTCTTGACTTTAGGGCTGGCTTGCTACCTTTGATGCCACGATGATTCTCCCATTTGTTTGATGCCATTTCATTTCTTCTCGGTAGCCCTGCCCCCATTCTTCCCTCCACGCTGGCTATTCCTAACAGTTCCCCTCCTCCTTCTCCTAAATGTTACCATATGTCATTTCTTAAACAATAAGGAGAGTCAACATTAATTTAATTTTGAATGTTATCTCGAAGTGCCCTTTGAGACTTTTGGAGACATCCCAAGTATCACAGATTCAACAATCTTTATATTCCAGGTGGGAGCCCCATAAATAGAAATCATTTCCAGGTATTTTAGCTGAAATGTGTATCATATAATAAACAAGAGATTAAAACGGTGGCTTGGCAGGCAATTCTCAGGGGAAAAGATAATTCTTCTTTGATAGTTACGTTCACTCGATTTCCTTCCAAACCAGGTTTCAAAACAGAAAATACTTTAGTCATCTAAAGAGGAAGCGTGGTATAGTCCACAGAGAGAGAAATGCTCTCAGAATTAGGTGTTCCTGGGTTCAATTCCCCACTCTAAGACCTCAAGTAATACTGAGGATAGGAAGAAAAGCAAAAACATGTTCTGCCCTCAAAATGTTCCCATTCTAATGGAAAGAATACATATAAACAGCTATGTACATATTAGATATATATGGTCAATGGGAGATTATATGAGAAGGAAGACACTAGTAGCTGGGATACAGCAGGAAAGACCTTTGGCAGACGATGGGATTTGAACTGAATTTGAAGGTATGACCCTCGAGAAGTCACTTAACTTTTCAATATCCCTAGATTACTCTCTGAAAGTACATTCTACATAGCAGGTGCTGATCCTCCATGGCAAGGGAGTTCCCTGACTACGAGTTCCTTATGCCAATGAAATAACATTTTTCTTGTTGTTGTTGAATCATTTCAGTCATAATCCAATCCAAAAAATAGTTCAAGTATTCTCTGTTCCCGTTGGAAGAGAGAAACCACCTCACATGCAAAAAGAATTGTTTTATATGAGGACAAGAATTAAAGCAAAAGGGATAATGTCCTGGGGAGAGAAAACAGAAAGTTCTTTTCTGAACATTTGATTAAATGAGCATTTTTTTTTCTCCTTTCACAAAAGAATACTAATGGGAAAAGGAATTGGGAAACATAGAATAATCCTCTTGCTATGCCTCTTAAAAAAACCAATCCAGGCAGCCTAGAAAGAGGAGAAGATATTTACAAGCATTATTTGGCTGACTAATGACATCCTGAGTCAACACAGTGGAGCCTGAAAACGGGGAGAAAGTCTCTGGTTCCTATAACATCATCATTGTCTGCTGAAAGAGAACTGTGAAGCAATTTTCCAGAAATCAGTGAGAGTGGCTAACATCTGGAAGGACTTTAAGTCCTGGCAAATTTCAATTCTGTTCAAAGTGATTTGTGAGTAGAGGTACAATGTAGGATTGGCTAATGTGCCGTGTGTGCCTGCATTGAGCACAATCGATAAAGGCACATATTTCCAGGCCAGATTGAGTAACACAAACAAGAGAGAGTTTTTCCTTTATTTATTTAATCCCCAATATATTCACATAGGAGTAAGAACTTAATGTTTTTATAGTCATTAACATGTGACTGCATTCCTCTTCTATGGGATATGAAGGCAAAATACTATGGATGGATGGAAAATAAAAGTACACTTCAAAGCTGTGTATAGCCTGGTTTCCAAAACGTTTTTGGTCTTCAGACTTCTGAAATACATTACCATGGAAATGAAAAAAAAAGCAAAATTATGGAGGAAGTAACTCATTGGGTTCTCGGAGAGCTCCTCCTCCCAAAGAATAATAATGCTAACACTAATTGTAATATTTATTTTTATAGCACTTTGAAGTTTTCAAAGCGATTCATGTATGTTATGCCCTTGGGTCAATGGGAACACACTTGCGCTGACCACCATTTATCAGTTTCATCATTTTCATGTAATTGTCATTCAAATTGAGAATACTTTGCTCCTCCAATGGACTGTAGCTTCTCCATGGCAGGAAGTGTCTTTTTGACTCTCCTTGTAGTGCCTGGTAGGGAGTTTTGAACACAGTGAGTGCTTAATTCCTGCTGTCAAAGGCACATAGGAATTTTAAGATAACATTTATGGATGTTGATCATGGGAAAGTCATTATAAAGGAAAAAACGGAGGTCTAGCAGGTGAAGTGATATGACCAAGGTCACCCAGAGAGTGTCAGAGGTAGGATTTGAACCCAGGTCCTTTGCCTCCAGAGTCAATATTCTTTCTACTATAACTCTATGTTCGTAATAGCTCTCCTAGTTCCCATTTTATGTTCTGTACAATTAAAGACCATGAAGACTTTTTAAAAAAAATGCTTTTAGGTTTATTCTTTTACTATCTGTTGTACTTTTTTCTTTTTTAGTAAATCATTTTAAGTAATTAATAAATCAAGTTTCTCTGAATCCATAAGAATGGTCTATCAAGAACTATTACTACATAGCTTGTGGCTACCGAGAGGCAGTGTGGTCCTGTGGTTAGACTGCTGGATTAGCCATCGGGAGAGACCTGGGTTTGAATCCTGCTACAGGCACTAACTGTTCAAGCCTT